CAGCCACATGTCTTGCATTTTAGCTGGAGTCTCAGGGAAGTAGTTCTGTGTGGAGTACTGATGCCACACTCAGAAGGTTAAAAACAGGAAAAGCCTGATCGTCTGGGAAGACTGTGCGCAGTGACATCCCTTTGCTCCGAGGACTCTGGCTCGGGCAGCGGCGGCGTGGTCCCCGGACCCACGTTGTGACCCGAGAGAGTGAGCCCCTGCCTCCCGCCCGGGGCCTGTGGCCTGCGGACGGGTGGGCGAAGCAGGGCTGTCAACTTCTGAGACGCCTAGGAGGTGGCTCGGTTGATTCCCCCCTCCCCCCCCCGTAAAAAAAAGTTAATTACCAATCTTGGTTGGATTCTTCCTCGCCTCCCTGACATTGACTGCCGCTAATTCACTGATTAATCTCATTAGCGTGATTATCGCAGGATTTGGAGTTGGCGCCCATTGTTCTGCAGCCGGTGCAGTGCCGCGCGAGCACTCGCCGCCTCATTCAGTTGCGCTGCGATTGTCCCCAGGCTGGTGGAGGGAGCTATTGTGAGCCCGGCGGCTCGCCCTCTCCCTTTCAGCACCGGGAGCTGTCCGCCGCCGACAGCAATTACCTTCAGCGGGCGGCTCCCCGCTAGCTCACTGGCAACGTGAAAATGGCTCACTTTCATCACCTTAATCGTTGTCCTCGCGGAGACAGGAGTAGGGGCAGCGTCCTCCGTCCCGATCGGACGTTGGGAGATGGTGGCAGGGAAGACACACAATCTCTGTAGCTTTATTTTGCATGCAAACATTTTTATCTGACTTTCCAAATTACCACACATGATGTGATATTGTGAAAATGACTTACACACGTATAATTGTTGTTGTTTTTTTTTTTAAAAAAACCCGTAAGCACAATGTGGACATGCTTGGAAAACCTACTGGTAGTGAACATTTGTGGGATTCTCGGTAAAATTTCATCTTTGAAAAGAGGAGTCAGGGTTAGCAAGATGAACCGGTGGGTAGGAAGTCTACATGCAACATGAATTTTAACTTCTCTTGAGTTAAACTTGCATCTCCTGGCAAAAGATAGGCCAATTTTATCAATTTGGTTGGAAGCTGAGGTTGGGGAGGAAGGGCTCACACTGTGTGTGTGGCCCGGTGCGCACAGTGCACAGCAGTTTCTGGAGAAACAGGAGCACAGCCCCGGCAACAGCAGGGCGGCAGGGCTGTCGGCAGGTGGGGGCGTCTCAAGGTTCTGCCGGCACCGTCCCTGCCCCGTTTTGCACCTGACTTGTTTATTTTTTTCCTCTCTTGTAAATTTTTATATTTCATACCTTGCTACTGAACATGCCCACTTATTTCACTGTCTGATGTGTTATGTCTGTTTTCCATGCCATAATCAATTAGCAAAAATAAATAAAATGTTTTGCAACTTCAAAGCTTTTTAAAGTTTTTCTATTTGTTAAACTATACTTCAGACGTACAGTTTTAAATGCACAATCTGATGATCTGTTGATTTTGATTTTCTTTTACAAAAACTTCACACATGTGATAAAAATGCAATTGCTTCTCGGTGGAAAATTTATTTTGTTGCCTAAATAATATTTCTAAAGTCTCGCATGCAAACAAGATTTCTGACTCTGCCTGCAAGGCAACCTAATTGGAGGGAGACGCTTTGTTTTGGAAAACATACTATACCCTCTAAAATACTTTGTTTCCTCATGACACATTTTTTTGTGGCTACATTTTAAACTTCAAACAACGTGACATTTTATTTATTCTCAAATATGGCCCATCCTGAAGCCCGCCCAGTGGCAACAAGGGGCCAGGGAGAGGCCCCTGGGTGCCGACCACCCTGTTCTGACACTGGCGTGTGGCTCGGCCACACACCCCTCCGGCCCGTGGTTGGGGTCTCCGACCGTCAGCCAGTTTTTCGGAGGCGCCTGGGGCTTTGCCACAGAGTCTGCCGTGATGTGCAGCCTCGCCGGAACCCTGCCAGGACGCAGGTGAACGGCAAAGTCAGGAAGAGGGACATCCGGTGTTGCTGAATTCTTATAAATAAATCACCCCAGATCATAATTTAATTGTGATTTATTTTAAGGTTCTAAAAATGCCCTCCTCATCAAGGCTTTCTCTGGGGGGAAATGTGCAGCTTTCTTCTGAAAAGAGCAACAGAGGATAAGCTCGAACAAAAACTTGAACACGATTAACCCATTTTTCGCCAAGTTTCACCCCGCTGTGGGGCTCTCCACACGCCCCTGACAGTGACCCCCACTCCCCCCCCCATTAACCTGCACAGGCAAGACGCCGCCGAGTTAAAGAAGTGTCTGTGCGCATAATTTTTAAAACTGTCCTCTTGAAGTTATGGGGGGGGGGTGAGCCATATCCAAACAGAATGTGTGGCTGTGATAAAAAACGAGTATTTTAAGTGGGCGTACTGCACACACGAGATTTAAATACAGCCCATAATGATAAACCTGTGCAAGGGAGGCCACCACACACGGTACTTCCGTGGTGACTGCGTGGTTTTTCTGGTGCCAGATTGTTTCAGGGAGCAGCTAGACATTCTCCCATCAGCGGGCTGTTTCAGTGCAACATGGTTTCAGTTCGGAGCGTGCTTTGTCTCTCCCTCTCTCTCTCTCTCTCTGTTTCTCTCTCTCTGTCTCTCTCTCCCCCTCCGTCTCCTGTCCAGTCCCTCTCTCCTTCTCTCTCTCCCCAACTCTGCCCTGTCTGTCTCTCTGCCCCCCACTCCGGTCCCTCACACCTGCCTTGCTCGAGCACACACAATGATTTTTCTATGCCTGTTTTCACAATGAAACTGTTTTAAGCTTTGACATTGTAATGAGTCCTCGGGGTATCTGTGGAAGTAATCGGAGATGGCAGAGAAAATGCAAGCCAGGTGTCAGAAAACCAGGAGGAACCCAGAAATGCTTGTTTATCATGGAGAGAAATACTGAGGAGCATGGCTGTATCGGGCTGCTGGGCTAGAAAATTTCCGTCAAATGTGTCTCTTTAAAGAAAACCCCTGCTCCCCACGTGGTGATTACTGGAGAAGTGGGGAGGGGGAGGGGACCCTCTCAGCCGGAGTGGAAGGGGCACTGTGCCGCGCGAGGGCCGAGTGGCACAGGGCGCTCTCGGGGAGCGCGGCTGGCGCTCGTGCTGCGGAGATCTCCCGCAGGGCTGCGTGTCGCCGCTGAGCAGCCGGAGGTCTGGGCTCCGGCGTCGGCCGGAGGCTGGGAGGCAGCGGAGCCGCCTTGGAGGCTGGAATCGGGTGTCCTGCTAACTTTGGGCTCCTGCGCGCTGCCCCCGCCCGGACACCCGTCTGCCTGTGCTCAGTGGCGGGTCACGGCTGCTGGTGGTGCTGCCCCCGGCGGGCACTCCTGGGGCCCGGGTGGCCGCCGGCGCGGGCCCCGGAGCACAGGGCGGACGGGGTGCACATGCGTGGGGGACAGGGACCAACACGTGTGACGGCCCCTCCGGGGCAGACACGGCCCTGCCCGCGCCCGGGAGCGGACGGCGGAGCAGGATTTTGCCGGCCAGACGCCCACTCTCCTGCATAAAGGTACCTCTTTCCTTTCATGTAAAGGTCGCCTGAGGTTTTCCTGGCTGTTGCCACTTCAGCTCTTCCGAGTGACCGCTCGGCCACTTCAGCACACGGCTGTCTCCTTGACTACCTAGCTCCGGCCGTGTCTGATGACAAATTATCACACTTCTTAGCCCCGCGTGGCTGGGCGGACCACCTCTCCAGCGGAGCGGCTCCGGCTCCGGCGGGGTGGTGCCCCCGTGGGCGCCCGGCAGCCTGGACTTGTTATTAAACAGGAGTCTGCGTTGGAGGCCCGCGTCCGGGGGGAGGGTGGGAGGTGCTAAGGAGCCTGTGTGGTTTGGCGCGGCCTTGCCGAGTGCTGCTGAGCGAGGGGCTGGCTGAGAGTGCGGGGTCTGAGCCGCCGCTGGGGTGAGGCGCTTACTGCTTACTGTTTACGGCTCGCCTCCAGGAGCCATTTATAAAACCAGCTCTTCCCTTTACCCAGAAAAGGGCTGGTGGAGCTCCTGCGTCTCGTCCCCCTTTGTGCCTCGGAAATCTGGTTTGGCCTTGCCTGTTCAGATGAAACTTTTCCTGGTCATGTTCTCCCTGCAGACAGTGCTAAAAGGTGCATGACGGTTTAACTCTCCTCGGGAAATCGTTCTGTGCCTTTTGTTTTCCAAGGAAGCGGTGGAAGCAGCTCGCGCTGACACAGACCTGAGTGTGGCTGGCAACCTGCTCGCGACGTGCGGTCGGCTCGTGTTAACTCTTGGGGAGCTGCCCTCCCGCTCTGAGCCGTGGCAGGGCGGGCTGGGGGGCCCTTTGTGTCTCCTTCTGAGGCCGAGGGGCGGCACCGTGCGAGACACCGCGGGTCCGGGCGGCCGCGTGGGGCTCCTTGGGCCGCGGCGTGGCTTCACCGCCACCTCGGCGACGGGGGCTGGTTTGGAGATGGGCTGCCTCTCCCGAGAGCTGCGAGCAGCCTGCCTCTGACATTCTCCGTTCCCATCTATTCCATTAAATACGGCCCTGCACATGATACACATTCTGCTCTAGAGATTTAGGGGCCTGTGGCTACAATGTAAGAATCATACGGCATGCCTCCCCAATCTCGCCCGGCTGCGTGGCGAGCTTCATAAACAGGAAGGCTAGCCATCACCGGTGGTTTGATCCACGGCCGCACCTTGAGCAGCGGCCGGTGGCGGGGCTGCCCGCCCCCCCCACCAGGGTCTGGGGAGATGGATGCGTTTCGTGCAGCTTAGAGGACGCAGCCCGAGACAGGGTGAGTCGGCAGCGGGCGGGGAGGCTGCCGCGCTGTGGTCTCCCGGGGAGCCGGCCGGCGCGCACGCGGGGCCGGTCCTGTCTGCGGCGGCCGCCAGCACGCATGCCCGCCCTCCCTGTCGCTTAGTGGTGTCAAGTTATTAATTTCCATCTTCGACTTCAGGCCTGTTAGTTTCCTGTCGGAAAGCATTATTACTTTTGTCCATGTGGCAAAATAATTAGCATACAGATGAGGAGCGGCCCGTGCCTGCGCACCGGCGGGGAGCTGTGCCGTGGGAAGTTGACTGGGTGAGCGGGGGACGAACGGTGGGCGCCGGGGAGCCCCGCCAGGGTTCTGTGGCCGCGGAGCAGGTCGGAGCCTTTTCCGGGTGAGTCCCCGGCAGACAGGGGAGGCGGGGTGGCCGCCGGGGGAAGGGCTGCCGGCCCAGCCGGCCCCGCGGGGAGCCGGGGGGCTGCCGGCGCTGGTGCGGGGAGGCTGGGGCTCGCCTAGCCGCTCCTGCAGGTGAACGCGTGCCGGCATCCGTGCCGAGGGCCTGGCGGCGGCCCCCCTTCCCAAAGTGGAGCAAAGTTCAACTGCGTGTGGTCAGCAACAAAAGAACAGTCGGGGCTGCCGGGCTGGGGCGGGGGCTGCCCCCACCCCCCACCCCCGCGCGTGGGTCTGGAGTGGGAACGAGCTAGTGAGGCATCATTGTCTCCAGTGCAGCAGCCATTGCCCGGTGTGTTTAATTAGTATTTTCTGGAGCAGAGCATCCAGACCGGTAAAACGAGCCGACCCCTGTGTCCGTGGAAGGCCAGACGTGATTAGTTTTGACTGGTGTATATTTTTCCTAGCTGGAGGGGGGTTTTGGCTAATCCCACTGGCAACTTACTGGACGTTATGAAAATGGAACTGAAGTTTCTATTGATCTGTAAGCTCCGTAGATGGGAAATGTGAGAATTAACGCAGCCCCTGGTACTTCCAGTGCTTGTCAGAAAAATGGAGACTGTTTTCACCGAGCAGTCCTCTGAGTTGAGAAATAAGTGTGATGCCTGCCGGAATCCTAATTTTCTTTATTGTCGTCGGTGACACACATTTCTTATATAATTCCGTGACCGTAGTAGTGTGAGAGGTGCTTCCGTGTTTAGTTAATATCGTGCCATCTCGGGGAATTCGCTGATAAATAGTTCCGTCCTGTTCTCATAATTCCTAGTCTCCTTAAAAGGTAAGGTTTTCATTTTAAATGACCTAATTATTTCATCTGCTTTCAAGGTAGAAATTAGGCAGAAATTGTTATCCTTTAACTGTCTGTTTACAGTTTCCTGAATATTGCAGACCACTGGAGTTTATTCTGCTTTTATTTTTAGGCTTTTTTTTTTGAAAGAGTTGCTTTACTTTAGCTGTTGACTTGTACACAATGACCATGAATATTTGACAGAAAATGCAACTTTTTGAAAGGTCATTTCTCCTGTTTAAAAAAACTAGGCATTTCCAAAAAAGAAAAGAACAACAACAAAAGAACCACCTCAATGAACCTAAACCTCAGAAGATGTTGCAAAGCACATTAACCCTTCATGGGAAGCCTCTGACACTTGGTGTTGCTCATTTTCTCTCTCATACTCCAAGTTTCTAAACATGCACATTGAGCTTTTATTTGGCATAATAGGTAAATTCTTCATTTTTATATCATTTTATGCATTTTAATGCATATATATGCATATATAGCCTATTTTATTTTATTTTATTTTAAAATTTGCTGGTAAATTAGAATGAAAAAAAATTGAGATTTTTTTAACCCAAACAATATTAAATGCCAAAATATCCTCAGACAGATTCGTGCAGTGTTGTCTAGAGAAAAGTAGCATTTCCATGATTTTCTCTTTGCTGTGTGTCATTTCAGAGTTGAGCCAAGCTCCCCGTGATTAAAATAACCCCTTTCGGTTGCACGGTGGGTTATACCTTCCCCAGGACAAACCACCGGCGCTGTGTCGGCCTCGCGTGCCCGCTCATGGGGGGGGGAGCCCTTTCGTGGCACCTGCCACGCTTCCTTTGTGCCCGGCTGCCTTTCAGGGGTAGAGCCCAGCGTCCTCTTTTTTAAGGGCCAGAATGACGCCACGTCACTTTCCACTTGACAGAGTTACTTGGTGCCACTCTGTCACGCCGGTCCTCAGGCACCGTGCAGCTGGGGACGGGGGGGCGGTGGGGTGGGTGGTGCTCACCTGGGAAGACAATGAGAGGCCCCCGGGGTGGGGGGAATACGCTCCTGGCCACCTCGCTGAAAGTGTGATTTCTAAGGGGGTAGGTTTTTTTGGTTTTGTTTTGTTTTTTGGTTTTGGGTTTTTTTTTGTTTTTTTTTTTAGTTTAGCTCTGAGGTTGAAGATCAACTTTGGGTGAGAAAGCAGACTTGCACAACAAGTTTTGGGGCAATCCACGAGATGCCCAAACATGGTCTGCAGTCCGACACCCTTTGCTTCCCCTGGGGCAGCGTGGCAGGCCCCGGGGCACCTCGGGTCTCAGGTGGCCGGTCCCCCTGCGTGGACCGCCCGCCGCCATGCCTGCGCAGGGCGCCCAGGGACCAGGGAGGGAGATGGGGGGAGCAAACCCTTTCCTCTCAAAGGTCGCTTGAGCCTTTCTTGCTCCCAAATTCTGTGCTGTCATGTGTTGTTGCAGTGTTGGGGGGGCTGTAGTGAATGTCTCCAGAGGCTGTGTGTGTGCACGCACACGTGTGTTCCAAAAGTGCAAGCGAAACGCTGCGTGTCAGCTGACAGTGGGTGAGCCGCTGGGTCAGCGTGTGCTCCGGGGCCCCTGCCCGAGACGCACGTCTGCGCCTGTCCGCGCGGTGGAGAGGCAGGCGCCCGGGACGGCGCGGCCCGCCGGCCGCCCTTGCTGGAGTCCCGCTGCTGGAGGGTGCACCCCGGTTGTGTCGGAGAGAACCCCCTTGCGACGGCCGGCCATTCGCTGGGGACCTTCCCGAGGGTGGGGTGCCAGGCTCAGGCCTGTAAATCAGACAACTCACAGATCAATGATTTATGGGGCGGGGCTCCTTCTGGCACATGGGCCAGGATTATCCTGACAGGATTTCCAGCCCCAGCCCTGTTCTGAGTGTCTGAGTAGCATCTTCGTGCTGTGCCCTCGGCCCAGGCACGTCACGGACGTCAGGGGCACTCAACAGGATGATGGCTTCTGCACAGTGAGCGTTGCCCCCCCCGCTCCAGAGGCTGCCGCCTCACTCGGGTCTTGCAGGGGCGGGCAGTTCTCAGAGACGATTCCCCGTCTCTCCCAACCTCCTGGCCCCGGACGGGGGTGCCGCCGGCCTGGGCCCCCGGAGCACAGGCGGCAGGCCCAGGGCACCGTTGCCGTGAAACAAAGCTGGCCAGGCTGGTTGTGGAAATAATCGCGTCTGCTGGGCACCCCGTCGAGAGCCATCAAATCAGGTCTGCAAGGTTGTGCACACTCGGAAATCAATGCCGCATCTGCTCGTGGGCCCTCCGGGTCGCTGAGACTCCCACCTGCCTGATGCATCTGGGCACGAGCGTTTCGGAAGCCGGGCTCCTGCAGGATGAATTTAATACGTCTTGAGGGCCAGGCACGAGCAGATTGGTTCTATCTCTGCACCAGGAAGACTCACACACATCTGTAAGAACACAGATTTTCAGCAGCCCCAGGATGAGGGGATGCTCTTTTGTGGAACATCCCAAGCCTCCCCCCTCCCCACCTCATGCCAACATGGCATTTTTAAATTAGGAAGTTGATTAAAAAGGGCTGGAAGACCACGGATGTGGTCCTTTGGCATCCACCCAGCTGCTTGTCACCTGGTCAGGAACGTCTGGCTCCTCACCAGCTTTAGGGAACAGGGACATCAGCCTGCGGCCGAGGGACAGCAGGAATGAGCCTGTGCTGGGGTGCACGCGGGGGGCAGTGGCGCTGGCCTCCTCCCTCCCTGTGGCCTTCTCTGCAGACAGACTTGCTGGCACACAGCCTGCAGTTTTCACCCCCAGCACAACTGGGTGCGTTGCCCCGAGAACGCCGGGGTTCCGATTTCTCAGCGGTCGGGGGGTGGGTCGGAGCGCTTCATGCTCTCTGGATTCGGATCCCGGACTGACCTCCGGTCCTGTGGTTTGGCGTGGGCGGTAGTGCTGCCGGAAGAGGGCTGTGCAGCTCCTCTCCAAGAGTAAATAGTCTTCTTCTTCTTCTTTGGTTAATAAGGGACATTTCTCTCCTCAATGGCTCTTTTCGGGGTTTTGGAGTATATAATCAGAGCAATAAAAGCGTATGCCTAATTGTAGTGTCCCTGTGGCCAACGTGGTGTGAGCAGGTCGCATTGTGAATTCAACTGTGCCCGCCCACGCCACGTCTGAGCACTCGCCCCGGCACGGCACGCCAGAGGGGCAGGGGACCCCGCCGGCGGCCTGACCGCAGCAGACTCTGGGCTGGGGCACCCCGTTACCTCGGGGGTCCAAGTCAGGGGGCTGCCTTCCCCTTGGGACTTCCAGCGGCTGGCTGTGATCCTCTCTGCTGCTCTCCTGCCCTGGGGCCCTGCCTGCAAATGTGTTGACTGTGCTTGGGCTCTGCCTCTGAGAAGAGCTCAGTGACAGGCTGGCGGGGTCAGTGACGGGCTGACAGCTTCCCCCGGAAGGAAAGATGGACATGAGTGAGGAGGATGGAAGCGGTGGCTCCTCACACGTAGCCCCTCCCTCATGCTTCATGCAACACGCGTGTGCCGAGCAGAGCCCAAAGGGGTGGGGCTGCGAGGTTTGGCCCACAGCAAGTCAGGGTGTGTGTGTGTGTGTGTGTGTGTGTGTGTGCGTGTGTGGTGGGAGAAGTAGGTCTACAGTTGTGGGTGTGTGAAACACAGAGTTAGTAAAGCTATTGTGACAATCATAACCTGCATGTCTGTTTCTACATAAACAACCGTGAACCTACTTTTGCCCCACCCTGTATGTACATATGTGTTTATAGGTATAGATTGTATGTAAACGTATGCCTATTTAAGTATATATGATACATTATATGCAAGCGCATGCATAAGTGTATGCTTACATATAATCTATAAATAGATGCAAGTTATTATTTGATATATTACATCACACACAGAACATGCATGTTACATTGCCCTTGACATATGATTCATTGCCCATAACACATATACCATGCTACACATTATATAGATATATCCATAGGATAGAGACACAAAATATATATTTATTTTTAAACACATGGATTCCCGGTACAGGGCGGTCACCCCCCGCCCCAGACCTCCTTTCCCCGCCCACGCGGTGCCGTGCGCGAGGCCACCCCGAGCGGGGGGGGGGCCCCCGCTGTCCCTTCCCCGACGACGGGCCCTTTAGGGACCGGGGTGGGGGGGTCGATCTGAGAACCGGCCCCCAGCGG